ACCTTCCTTTCAGTTGCGAAATCTTTATCAATATCATTTGTTGTATTTCCATCACCATACAGTTTCTTTTCGGCTTGACGTGGCCTGTTTCGTTTGTGGGTCACTATTTTGAATTCCTCTTCTCCTGAATTCAGGTTAATTTGTATATCTGAATTCAGATTAGTTATTTCAACTAGCTTGTTTAGTTGTTGTTTTTCTTTTAAATTTACATTATCTAAATTTTTAGCTTGACTTGATAATAATGGTACACTTCTTGACTCGCCCTGTATAGTTATTTCTGCATTGTTTGTCATAGACATACCTGCTATGTTATCAATAGATGAAGGTCGTTGGTCATATTGTTTGTGTAGCGAAAAAATGTTATCTTCTAATAATGCTTTGTTTTCTTGTAGGATATTGATATTGGATTCTAAGATTTCATTGTTACTTTCTGTAGCATGTAATAATTTACGAAGGAGATCATTCTCAAACAACAGTTTTTGAACATCTACCTCATCAGTAGGTGTTTTCTTACTTTGATGAATCATGTTGGTTATGTTTTCAATCACTTCATTTTGTTTTCCTATATTCAGGTTTAGTTTTTCACAGAAGTTTTTTCTTGATGAGCAGCAATTATGGTAGATCGTATCACACGTTGCACATTCCACTTTGTTAACAGCTTTTTTACCACAGTAATGGCAGTTTTGATTCAGAGCAATTTCACTCGCGATGTTACCTATGAATATTCAACAGGAAACAACTACTTTCAACTAATGTGAAGTTGGCGCTGACTTTTTTGAATTTTTATCGGAGTTCTGGGTAGATACGATAGAGTTCTGGAGTTACTGAAAAAAAATTCAATAGTTCTGGAAAATACCCGAAAAACAAAATTGTGGGTGCTAACTTCACGCGGCACCGCTTTTATCACAGAAAAGAGTTCTGATGAGAAATTTCGACGTATTTAAAAAAGTTCTGAAGTTCCTGATATATTTCAACGATAGTTCCGGCGAAATAACAAAGTTCTATTTTCAATAGGGACATTGATACGCTCATGTAGCATCCACCACTTTCTAAAGTTTGGATCGGAGTTCTGGGTAGCACCAGTCGAGTTCCACATACTATATAGCCAACTTTTTTTCTCTGAAAAAAAAAAGTTTTGTGAACGATTTGAAAAGGAGAGACAATAGAGGAGTTCTGATCGGAGTTCTGGGTAGCACTAGTCGAGTTCCACATACCATCTAGGTAACTTTTTTCAATACCTACCTCCTGTCCCTATCCTCCCTAGGAACGCACGATGTTCTTTGAACATTATAGAGATTCCCTTTCGTGCGCTCCAAGCGATAAAAAAAAATTTCTCTAAAATCAAAACTTTAGTTTTTATAAGCGGAAACGAGGGATCGACTGAAAAAAAAAAAGTTTTGTGAATGACTTGGAAAGGAGAGACACTAGAGGAGTTCTGATCGGAGTTCTGGGTAGCACCAGTCGAGTTCCACATACCATCTAGGTAACTTTTTTCTCTAAAATCGAAACTCCAGTTTCCATGGGCGAAAAAAAGGGACCGGCTGAAAATAAAAGTTTTGTGAAGGATTTGGAAAGGAGAGACAATAGAGGAGTTCTGATCGGAGTTCTGGGTAGCACCAATCGAGTTCTACATACTATCTTGATGAATGTTTTTTCGAAAATCAAAACTTTAGTTTATATGAGCGGAAAAGAAGGACCAATTGAAAAAAGTATGTTTTGTGAACGATTTGGCAAGGAGAGACAATAGAGGAGTTCTGACCGGAGTTCTGGGTAGCACCAGTCGCGTTCCTCATACTATCTTGATAACTTCTTCCTCCAAAATCAAAACAACAGTTTTTATAAGCGAAAAAGAGGGACCGATTAAAAAAATATGTTTTGTGAACGATTTGGAAAGGAGAAAAAATAGAGAAGTTCTGATCAGAGTTCTGGGTAGCACCAGTCGAGTTCTCTTTACTATCTCGATAACTTTTTTCTCTAAAATCGAAACTTTTGTTTTTATAACGGAAACGATGGACCAATTGAAAAAAAAAAATGTTTCGTGAACGATTTGGAAAGGAGAGACAATAGAGGAGTTCTGATCGGAGTTCTGGGTAGCACCAGTCGAGTTCTCTTTACTATCTTGATAACTTTTTTCTCTAAAATCGAAACTTAAGTTTTTATAAGCGGAAACGAGGGACCGACTGCACCAGCATAATTTTTTCCTCCTGATTCAAAACTTCAGTTTTTATAAGCGGAAAAAAGGGACCAATTGGAAAAAAGATTTTTTGAGCGATTTGGAAAGGAGAGCCAATAGAGGAGTTACTTTTCATCATCAGAACGGTGAAGCTGTTTATGGAGAAATATACTTTATTTTGAATAACATGTCAATAACATAATAAAATACCCTCTATCGTAGGTTATAAAATAAAACAAATGGTATTTAGAACATATTATAAAATTTAATTTGTAAAAAACTTAGTTATCTAATTTGTCTTTATATTATCACATTCATATCTTCGGATTATAAATAGGAACTGATACCGATAGAGTTCATATTCCCAGTTATTGTCAGTGTATCATAGTCATAGACCATAATAAATAAAACGCTAAAATAATATATCACGTTGATGAAATGGATGAAATGAAGAAAAAATTCTGAATGATACAAAACTCTTCCTTTTTTTCGAAAGCAAAATAAATAATGTAAATTGGTATACATAACACTATCACAAACTCTCTAAGAGATCAAGTCGTACCTAACTCATTCGACGTGTCTGACATTCAATATAATTGTTATTTGAGAATTGAAAGAGGAAGAGGACGGAGGGGTCATTTTAGGTAAAGTTTATTTAGACAAAATCGAAATTAAAATGTCAATGCATCAAACCATCCCTCTCATGTATAGTTTTTGTCATAGGTTTGTCTTCTGTGCACTCATAATCTCATTAAGAACGCTTGGAATATTAATTTGAACTCCAGTATGAAATACGAGAAATCGATAATTTGAGGAAAGCAAACAATATTAAATCAGATGAGAAAAAAGTAATATGAAATTTTGGTTCATGAAATTTTAAAAATATCATGGCGCCATTTTATTGACCACTAAATCACGCAACTTTAGCACAATTCAACAGACCATGTTTCTCTTATTAATTACGAGATCCCAATGGTACGCCTTGACTTTGATTCCCTATATACATAACAACTTCATCACTGCTATATAGGTTGATTCTTCAGATAAACGTTACATAACTCGGTCGCCTCCTTACCCCTTCAATTATTTTCGGAAAAATTGTTCAATTACATTCCAGTCTTGTTACTGTTACCATCAGTGTCACGTATAACATACATAAAAATATGAGGATTGACTTCTGTTCTAGAAGGTACTGTCTTGACTTTAGTACTCAAGTCGTCATATTCCCGCCATTGTTGTCCATTGAATATAAACGACATAAAGTGCCCATCATCTGTGTATGGTATGTAATGAATGACTCCGACAAGATCATAAATGTTATCATTCACCGTGATTGCTTTCACGATTGTACCAAACAGGCACTTTTTTCTCTGGCTCACAGGGTAAAAGTTTTTGTACAGTGAACATGTGGTAATAGACACATCCACAATCAAGTATGAACCAAATTATGTTGTCAAACTAGCGGTAATATTGCACTTTTTACACATGCAGTTGTCTTGACGATTTTCATTCAAATCTTCAACTGCGGACTGCATATAATCATATCCATTACCAAAAAGAGTGTGCGTGTTGATGGACAAGTAGTTCAGCCATTTTGTTTTCTGCATTTTGCATTTAGGACACGATGTTATTGTTTGGTAAAAAGGGAATTTTCCAAACAAACTTTCATACAGATGAGCTACATTCGAATTTGCATTTAAAGATACAATTCTGCGGGTTTTCATTCCCTTCACCAAATAATCAACAGAATATAAAATGTCAAATCGTTCTTTGAAATGATCTTTCTAGAGTTTGTCTTCAATGCTAAATTACCTAATGGAATATCATCCGATTGAATTCCACTTCTGAAGCCGGTACTGCATAATGCTGATGCATCACCAACGTTAATAAAGAATCGGAAGGGCATGTATCTGTTATGTGGTATTTTATCGTTTCAATTTCAAGTTCAGGATAAATAAGTCCATTTGGAATCAGAGGCAAAAGAGCGCTTTCAAATACTCTTGTGGAATCCCAATCGGGATAGTTTTGTTAATAATTCTTCCGACTTGGATGACATATTCCTGATGGTGGCAATTCAGGATTGATAGTCTGATGGACGACATTTTCTTTTTCATTTATTTTCTTCTCTGTGCATAAAGGGGTCTGGTCATCATCTACTACAGTTGAATTGATGATTCCACTTGTTTCGGAGCTACTGAACCAATCATCATTGTGATGGATAAGTATGATCGACGAGGCAAATATCGTTTTCAGAAAGTTGATTGTTGGGCGGAGAAAACATGAGTTCTCAGCGTTACCATCGATGCGTTGGCAATCATCAACTAATGTTGAATCAAACGCTTCATAATCTTCATAGCTCGTGAATACATAGTCATTGTGATGATCATCAGAACTGGAGAATGAACCATCGTCCTCCAAAGAAGAATTTATTACTGTTTTCGTTTTTTCAGTTTTTCCACCCCAATTTTCTACCTCATTGAGAGAGTCTCCGGAAATTTTGTTTCGTTCAATAGTTTTTTGTGGATGTGGACCTTTATATATCTGCCCATCTAACAATGAAGGGCAACTAACTTAACTTCTCCTTTCAACCAGTTGAGATGATTGAGGATCAGTTTGTCAACTCTTAACGGTAACTGATCAAAACACGTATTTTTTATTTTCGAAAACTGTCCTTCCACTGAAGATAAGGATGGAATATTGATGTTAATTCCAAATGTTGGGTACATAATTGCAGTCCATAGAGGAAGATAATACATCAACTCCTGTAACATCTTTGCCGCATTCGGAATGTTGAACGGATTCAGGTCAAAAATACTCATCCACGGTATCACTTGCAATTTTTTTTATTTTCAGCTTCTTTATATAATGATTTCGCCCGGTCAATCCAAGTACTATCTGTAGAATCATTAGAGTCTAAAATCGATTCTATTTCGAAGAATTCTTCACTATCATTGTCATTTCCATTTTCGCTTGGTTCTATGGGCTCAATGATATTTGGAGTGCCTCTTATGATATAATCGACATAACTCAAATATTCATTCGACGAATATTGTTGTCCATTCCTATCAGTGCCGATGTGTTCACTTAGAGCGACTATCAATATAGACCCCAATACTTTTTCTATTTCGCTGAAATCAGTCATCAAATAAACATGCTCCAAGGCACGAAGGTTAAACTGCCTAACTTTAGATTTTAAATTTCGCAAACATTTCCACCTTGCTATTTGAGCAATGAAATGACTGACGTCAAGGCGCAAACAACAAGTAGGATGTTCAACTACTGCACCTAAAACTATGAGTTTGTAACATATGCTCATGTAGTTTTTCAGATCAGAGCAATTTGCAAGTGCACTTGCTACTCCAATCAGTGAAACTTTTCCAAAGTCGGTCACCATGATTTTCGGTCTAGGGGCACCAGATCTCATGATTTCATGAAAGAAAAAAGTTGAAAACGATGCATCATGTCTAGCAGAAATCATCTGATACACCTGACAACTCTTGAACTCGTCAATATCAGGTTCATTACCGCATATTTTGGTACAAATAAATGTTTTTCGATTTTTTAAATTTTGGTTTATTTCTCGTTTTGATGTTTTCGAATAGAAGGGAAATTCTAAAAGGTACGCCACCTGTAGCATCAGCAGCATCGAAAAATATTCCTTTACTTTGGTGGCAAGCTTCATGTAGTATGCTCTGTTCTGGTAGCCAATGCAGGAGATGGGTTCAGTACCAATAGCATGAATTGACCCCTCGTGTGTCGTGTGTTTGACAATCTGCAAATTCTTCACAGGATCTGTGCTTGTCAAACCCAAACGTTTACCTATTTCTTCTTGTTTTGCTTTTTTTAAAACATTCGCGCTGGGCAAGGTGGGTGGAATATCGTCACTAAATGACATATCACGCGCCTGCTGATTGCGCCAAAGGTTAGCAGGTTTCCTACAATCAACTAACTCACTTGCAACTTGCTGCCTTCTTTCGCCACGAAGCTGTCGTCTCTTGCTATCAACAAGATTTGTTTGTTTACAGAAAAAAATTGCATCCTGCTTTTTTGAAGGTTTTTTGAAAGCAATTCCATCCAAATTTGAACCACATTAATGCCATTTTCCTAAAAATTTTACGTTTTTTTTCTGACCTCAAATCAGATAACAAAGATCTGGCAACAAGGCCTAAATACAACAGAATAATAGATAACAATGTTTCTTAAACTAAAATCCTTAACACTTCAAATTCAATATGTGCCTACTCATCTACACTGTTTCTACTTCTATAATACTTCTTGAGGTTATGATATACCTTCTCACTTCCTTCAAATACAGTTTCTGGAATAAGATTATACATTTTTATGCTTTGATAAATACGAGAATTTTGACCTTTTTTTGTTCGTAATAGTTTGTTTCTGTACATATCAGTTGATCTCAAGTTATAGCTGTGATAGTCTTTAGTTTGCTTCAGTTCTACACTTGTTTTCATAAGTTTATTCTTGATTTTATATATAAGTTTAGCCTGCTCAAGATTTTTCAGTTGTTCAACTTCCAGGAATGGATAGTCTTTATACAATATGTCACTTGGTGTAAGATAGTTTCTAGAGAATATAGTCTTTACGATTTGTTTTGCAGTCTTGGGACCAAATATCTCAAATGAGGTTCAATAAAGCTATTGTATAAGAGATATCTCGAATTTTTGTTGAGCATATGATTACACCTTCTTATTGCTCCTAGCATTGGAGCCACTTTTTCAACAATACTGTTTACATGCACATCCCATAGTAAATTTTCAGATATTATCAGTCCTAGATATTTATATTCTTCAACTTTCTTAATTACAGAGTCATTTATTTTTATTTGCGGATTTATTTGTTTCTTTCCAACTTGTTGCAATACCATGTAGACAGTTTTTTCAACGTTCAAACTTAGTTTATTGTAACACAGCCAGTCATAGTAACATAGTAATATTTCGCGCTAGTACTTTCATTTGATTTTGCATATTTGAATGAGAAAGTGCAAGCAATTTTGTGCTGCTCGTAAATTTTGTCAGCAACTAGATTTGACCATTTTTGCCTTCTCAATCTTAGAGGTCTACCTCGTGCTTTTTTTGATGGTTCGATACCAGCCCATTTTTTCCCATAATTCACGAGATTGAATTTCTGGGTGACGCCGCTTTCAGGTGATGGAATATGATATGTTGTAGCTTCCATCTCGGCATTCATCATATGTATCAGAATAGTTAGCACAATTACTTTCGTTTGCATTCTCGGAATTTGGCATAAAGGTCATTTTAATATTGTTATGAAGATCATGACGATTTTTTTGTACAGTTGTGTAAATGTGTTTAGGTGTAATTGTTGACCCAAAGTCAGACATAGCTTCGGATAATTCTCTGAAAACATTGTGAGATGGCCGTAAGATGGAACCATCATCTTTGATAACTCTTTACCTAACAAGACTAGTAAATGGTTTATAACCTACATCTACATTGATGTACCGAAAACTACAATGTGGTTATGCATTAACCGTAACAAGTAACCAAGCAAGTAACGCTCATGGGAACCTACGTGAAGTGGAAGAAAATTATTATAATTTTGGCTGTTGCATTTGTATGAATTCTGATATTGACTGAAGTTTGCTGATGACATTATCTGATATTGAACTGTTCTCGATGACAGGGAATCCAATCATATGAAGATATTGGGATAGAAAACAGCGATAACACTGAAAATATTGTTTTTTACTTGTCCACTTTTCTCACACCTGAAAGACAGCTATTGGATGAAAATAATTGCCCTGTTGATGAAAAAATTGTTGTCTCCACTTGACTATCGAAGCAAAATTCAACCATATCGAGATTCTTATTTTCTTGATCTGAAAAATATATTACTTTTGCATAAACTCCAAATACTTCGTGATCATGACATCCACAAGATTTTTAACTTCTCACGAAAACATTATTTTATCATTATGCTTTAATTAATTTAGTGAATTTCACCCCAAGGGTTCCAATTATTGGTGGTTTACTATGGCAAAAGCAACACTTCAATACAAAAATCGCTAATATACTTGAACCATCTCTTCTAACCCGCTAAGATCGCACGCTACTCGCACATCAGATCTTATCACATTTAAAATCTGAGCATATCGATCTTTCATTACCACCAAAATTAGATAATCAAATAGGTATACATCAACATATTTGCGATCCTATTCTATTCAACATACATACCTAATTAGTACTTTTGAAATAACTGTTTTCTTGAGAAACAGGTGTTCTATAAGGACTTATAGAAACAAAGTGCCAATCCAATTCAGTTGTGAATAATAATATTTCATGCAGGTATAATCCTGGTAGGTTCACTAGTAGTCCACAATGATACTTCAAATATATAATATGAACGTGAGACTTTCAACAACTACTTCCCACTGTCACTGAACGTAACCAACTGAAGTTTGCTCAATTGCTGGTCTCCTGTCATTGGCGCCGACCGTTGAGAATAGATAACACGTAACACCACTTCCGTCACTCCCCGAAATGCCGCCGAATGTGCCGCGGCTACCTTCCCCTTTCCTTGTCTAGACCGCAGTTGGTTTCAGTAGGCGACCTTCAGTCAGCTACATGCACAGTGGATCGAGTGAGCGCATCGATCTTGCTATACCGAGTGTCCTGAATAATAGCCTAATAGTGAATTAGATACCTAATGAGTATGTCTATTACGTATTGTGTCGTGGATGGCTGCAGAAGTAGACTGTGTGGAGAATACTCATTTTTGAGATGTCCATTGGATCAGGAAGAGAATATCTTTGAATTATGAATACAATTGAAAGAAAGTAACCAAACAGCTGTTGAAATGTACTGCAAATTGGCAAGTTTTGCAACTGAATTCAACATCACATATCTGCTTGATATTTTTAGATATTCGGGTTAATATTACTCGATTATAATTTGATATGTCCATTGTCTGCTGAATGCATCCACATCCATTGTCTGCTGAATGCATCCACATATTCTGCTTTTTGATCTGTCGCATCCATTGTCACATATTTGGGAACCACTGCTGATACGCTGGAAGCGAATAGATCGATTTCCGGCACTCCCTATCGTTTGTGAAAGATGCCACTCTGGAAGAGACTTTATACGAGACAGATTGTCTGATATCTCGTTGTATCTGGCTGTTAAGTGAATTTTCGATTCCTCGGCCATCAGCAAAAGTTTCTCTACGTCCTTTAACAGAGTTGCTGATCTCGTGCCTCCTAGGTTTCTTATGTATGAGACCACGGTTATGTTGTCTGATTGAATCATAACATCCTTTCCTCTCAGATACTCCAAATTCCTTCTGACTGCTTCGCTGACTGCAAGAAGTTCTTTTCTGTTTATATGCCATGATTCTTGATCCTTTGAATATACCCCACATAATAGGCGATTGTTCAGGTGCGTTCCCCAACCAGTATTGGATGCGTCTGTCGTTACGAATTCCTGACTTTTTCCGGTGAATATTCCTGAACTGAGCTGAATCGCCTCTACCCACCATTCTAATTCCTTCAGCGCTTTCTTGGGAATCGAATACTTTTCCTTTGATATTCCTTCTGGCAGTTTGCGACTGGCTCTCTGAATCCACCGGTTGTGGAGTCTTCCTAGTGGAACAACGAAGGCGGCGATGTTTAGGCTTTCCAGTTCCATTGTCGTACTGAAATCAACCTCGTTAATTCGTATAGGAGTCTTTCCTTCTTGATTTTGTGCAGGGCTTTTGTATTCTGAAGTGGATTCCAAAGGATTCCCAGAAACTCGATTTCTCTTTGTGGAACTATGAAAGACTTCTCCGGATTCAATTGCTATCCTAAGAATTTTAGGATATTCACGGCCTGTAGGGTTTGAACTTGAAGTGCATGCTTGTCTTGACCCGCAAACAGAAAATCGTCTAGGTAGACGATCACTCTCATGCCCAGTGATCGGAAGTAGCTTGCTATCCAATTGGAGAGGGTTGCAAATACTCGAGGAGCTGTTGCCAGACCGAATGGAAGACAGGTCATGCAAAGGACTCTGTTCTGGTAAATGAGTGATAGAAATCTCTGATGAGAGTTTTTCACTGGAACATGGAAATATGCTTGCGAAAGATTTATTTTCGTCAGAAAATCTCCCTCTTGTAGAAACTTCGGTGTCTTGTGATGGCTGAACAAGCGAAACTTCTTTGGAGTAAGGAATTCGCTCAAACTTTCCAAGTTGAATACTGGTATGTAGCTCTGGTCTGATTTTGGAACAAGAAACATGGTTGAGAGGAATCCCGAGCTTTCTGTGGCTGATCTTAGAATTTTTGAGTGAAACATTTTTTCTATTTCTATATCCATGTGGTAGCTGTCTTTTGTGGAAAAATGAGACATTTTTTGAGGATCCAACGGCACTAAGGAGGGTGGTTTCATAAAAGGAGTGGAGTAGCCTTTTATTATTTTGATTAAACCTTGCGGAGCTCCTAGAGAAGCCCACTGATTGGCATAGGAACTCAACTGACCCGCTTGAACATCCTTCTTTATCAGATGACAAGAGGAATTCACCTCAAGGGCGACGAAAATTTTCGTTCGATGGTCTTCTGTAACTTTTGTCTTTTGAATGACCCGATTTTTGAAAGTCGATTTGTCAGACCTCACCCTGAATACAACTTTCTTGCTATTCTCTTTGTAGCTTCTGCCTTTTCTTCTATCATTCTGCTTCGAAGGATAGGAGTTTCGGGTGGATCTTTTATATTTATAAGATGGTAGGCAAGAACTCGGATGTTTTGCCTGAAAGCTTTCCAATTGTTTCTCATCAAAGAGATGAGTCTCTGTAGGCGGTATATTCCTCATCTGTTGGGCTGTTCAGGAATATTCACCGGAAAAAGTCAGGAATTCGTAACGACAGACGCATCCAATACTGGTTGGGGAGCGCACCAGAACAATCGCCTGTTAAGTGGGGTATGGTCAAAGGATCAAGAATCATGGCATATAAACAGAAAAGAACTTTTTGCAGTCAGCAAAGCAGTCAGAAGGAATTTGGAGTATCTTAGCAGATGATTCAATCAGACAACATAACCGTGGTCTCATACATAAGAAACCTAGGAGGCACGAGATCAGCAACTCTGTTAAAGGACGTAGAGAAACTTTTGCTGATGGCCGAGGAATCGAAAATTCACTTAACAGCCAGATAGATACATTCCAAGCATATACAACGAGATAGCAGACAATCTGTCTCGTCAAAAGTCTCTTCCAGAGTGGCATCTTCCACAAACGATAACAGACCAAATCTTCAAGATATGGGGAGTGCCGGAAATCGATCTATTCGCTTCCAGCGTATCAGCAGTGGTTCCCAAATATGTGTCAATGGATGCGACAGATCAAAAAGCAGAATATGTGGATGCATTCAGCAGACAATGGACAAATCAAATAGCGTGGATTTTACCTCCTCCAACATTAATTTCTCAGGTACTGCAACATCTGAACAGTGCGACAGGATTTTACATCCTAATTGCTCCGCGGTGGGACAAAGTATACTGGAGACCAGACCTGAAGTCCCGAGCGATATGCCCTCCCTTGTTCATTCACGATCTGGAGCATCACCTGAGAGACATGAACACCAATCTCCCACCACCACAGGTGCAACTGCTTCATTTGGAGGCCTGGAAAATACGGGGTGGAGTGATCTCGTGAGTGGATGGGACCCCGAAGATTGCAAGCTTTTGGAATCTGCCTGGATAAAATCTACTCTCAGAACTTATATGCCTCCATGGGAAAAATGGGTGATTTGGGCGAGAAGATTAGAAATTCCTCCGAATGATCCGGCACCCAAGGACCTTGCACGATACCTGTCACATTTATTCAGGGTGAAGAATCTTTCTTACAGTACTATTTGTGTCCGTGAATCAGTAATATGCACATTTGCCAACCCGTCTAAGAGACCGGAACTAACTTCTCACCCACTAGTTCGCGGTTTCCTGAAAGCAATTGGTTGTCGTCGACCTGAAAGGAAGATCATATAGAATGTGAGCGACTTGATTTTCTGGTTGGAGGGAAATCCCCCTAATGGGCAAAGCCTGTTCGAAGTATCTAGGCACGTTGCACTTCTCTTACTTTTATCATCTGGAAGAAGAGTACAAGATTTAACGCTCTTATTAGTAGATGCAGATCATTTTCAGGATGCCAGAGATCACGTTGTTTTCTGGCCAAAATTCGGCTCCAAGTCGGACAACTTTAATTATCAGCAGTCAGGTTGGAAACTGCTCGAAAACAAAAATGGAACTTTCAATTCCGTATATTGGATACGTAGACTTTTAGATTTGTCAGGATGCCAAAGAGGACATCAGGAACCAACTGATGCCTTATTTGTGACAACTAGGGGAAAAGTGGGACCTGCGTCACGTACCTTAATAGCTGGTTGGGTGAAGACTGCTCTGCGGATAGCAGGAATTGATGCTTCTCCAGGATAGATTTTTCAGATGGCATATATACTTACTCCATACATTATTTTCAGATACCTTTGTTTTTTTCATTGATGAATTGATGATCTAGATAGTGGCTCAAATATTCTGGAATTAATCATTACAAAAAAAACCAAGTTACATAAAAAATCAATTTTTGAATGAACATTTATTTTTCAGATGACATATACTTACTACATACATTATCTTCGAAGACCTTTGTTTTTTCATTGTTGATTATCTTCAAATGATGATCCAGGTAGTATCCCAGATATCCTGGAATTATTCATCATTAAAGAAACCAAGTTACATAAAAAATCAATTTATGAATGAACATAGATTTTCCAGATGACATAGGTATACTTACTCCATACATTATTTTCAAATACCTTCGTTTTTTTCATTGATGAATATCCTCAAATGTTGATCCAGATAGTATCCCAAATATCCTGGAATAAATCATCATGAAAAAAAAAACAAGTTACATAAAAAAATTATTTATGAATGAACATAGATTTGTCAGATCATATACTTACTCCATACATTATTTTCAAAGACCTTCGTTTTTTTCATTGTAAATATCCTCAAATGATGATCCAGATAGTATCCCAAATATCCTGGAATAAATCATCATGAAAAAAACCAAGTTACATAAAAAAATTATTCATGAATGAACATAGATTTTTCAGATTATATACTTACTCCATACATTATTTTCAAAGACCTTTGTTTTTTTCATTGATGACTCAAATGATGATCCAGATAGTAACCCAAATATCCTGGAATGAATCATCATGAAGAAAACCAAGTTACATAAAAAATAGCATCTCTCTCAATTTCCTCCACAAATAAGTCGATAGTATCCTTGATGTAAAGAATGAAATAACATTTTGATTTTTGGCTGATGTTAAGTTGTCCTTGAATCTGAAATGAAAAATAACATTTTCAAAAGACTCCAAAAAAATAAGTTTTACAATCCTACCTGATAAAAATAATTGTGATTTCTTTTCAATCTTATCTGGTTATCATATTCGTCTAAACATATTCTACTTTTCTTTGCATCTACGACTTCCCTAATTGTTTATGTTTTCAGTTCTAATTCAGCAGCTGAGAAAGCATATTTTACTCCTACAATAGAATCTTCTTCCATGACAATTCCTAAAGTGAAATTTTATAATTGAAATATGTATTTATCTGATTTGATCAATTTTTACCATCTGGAGATGCCCCTAAAAATCCATACTGAAGATCCACCCACAAACCAGAGTGCTGAACCTTCAATTTTTTAAGATTCTCAAAAATGCCAATTGCAACTTTTTCCTTTGCTATGCCATACTCCGTAGCTTCTGACCAAAATTGAGAAGCTCTTAGGCATTCTTTCACTATATTGTGACAGGGAGTGTATGATCTCCTCTTGATAACTTTACCAAATAATGATGCAGTCAATCGAAGTTTTCGTTCACTCTCAAAAATGGCGTTTCAAAATTGTCCTACTGATTCAATTTGTATCCGATCTCTTTCTGAATCAGAAACCTGAAATTGAGAGGGTAAACCATATAGATAATGAAAAACTATTACCACTGAAATGATTGAACAATGAGATTATTTTTGCAACTTTCTCATTTAATATCATCTGTAATCTTTTTAGAATCACATCTACTTCTTTTGCCAACAATGTTTTGTCAATCAATTGCATATCATCAGCATGAGGCCCATAGTCCGTATTGACGCTCAGCTTCGAGTTTGAATTTGTTTTGATTTTTTCTTTAGTACATCAGAATCATTACTACATGTTGTTAGTAATCTTTTACGGCATCTCAACTCTTGTTGTCGACAATTTCTACTAATGAATCTCGTGAAATGTTCATCAGGACTATGCTCCATGAAACTCTCATAAGGGTCAGAGTGCCAGTTGAATTTCTCATTATGACGTAACCCAGACAAATTAATGTACTCGCCTCTGATATGAACCTCTCCGAATTAGGTTTAATCTTTCGCCTTGATTGAACCTGCATACGATATTCATCAATCTTTCAGCACGAATGTTATTTTCGATATCTATCAATAAATGAGCTCTCCTAACAAGTAGATCCAAAGCACCTGAAATATTGAATGAACAGTAACAGCCTTGAGAAATAATTGTAAATAGTGTTTTTATTTTTCATACAATAACGTAGTAAGTTTCATAAAGTAGATCATACTTTGGTTATCAAAGATTCATTACTTACCATTCAGGTGATTATAGATTGTACTAGACTTCAACTCTGGTATTATGATATTGGTCATGTCGCCAACGGTGTTGCATATACCTTCACGGCAATTAGAGTGATCACCATAAACATGATGCAATCCATTCCTCAAATCGGATCGAAGGAGATCAACGTTATGGATGGCATTTTTGGCATGTTCATATATAGACGTTTTAGCTCGTTTTGTCAGAGCTTGGATTTTCAAATTTGTCAAAAGTTTGCGTCTTTTATGATTAATTTGTGTATCTTCTTTCATGGTTCTGAGGCGTTTACCATAATTTTCAAGAGCATGGTTCGTGCATTCGATCTTTCGAACTTCTTTGCCATATCTCACAGAATGCTGAATTTTCGAAAATACACTCGAATCTCCATCACCAATGAATTTGAGGTAGCGAACTCCATGCATTTCCTCACTCTGGTTGAAACCATCAACAACCATATCCGCCTTAATTGCTGATGCAGATCCGGACCAATTTTTGTAGCATACATGTTCCTTCATAGATTTTCCAGCATTTTCAGATCTGGCACAAATCGTGCAATATTTGTTCCGTACCCCCACAAAGAGCAGTTCTCCAGTATTCTCTTTTCTATTTCACCAGCGGATTTCATGGATCGTAATAATGACGCTTCCCATTCCTAAAATATTGATAATCAAGACTAACTCACATAATTTGTAGGGTTGTATGAGTTTACCTTTTCCAGTTCATTTTCCATGCATGAAATAATCTTTTAGACATTGTTGGCACATTCATCGAACTGAGAAGTTCGCTCATAAGTACTGAAGCCAATGTTACCCATATTCGGCTCCGACATTTATCACAGATTTTTGTCGTTTGGGATTCTCTGTTCTGAAACTCATTGTACTATTGCAAGCGTTGCATTTAAAAATAATCGTACTAGCTAACCCATCTCGAATTTCACCATTTACAGATATAATTCCCATTGTGCAAATTTTGGAATGGTTATGTTATATATAATATTTCAACATTTTCCTAGACTTTTTTTCCGTTTTTTAACTGTCAACATGTCAGTTGGTCATGATTTTCAGTTTCCTCTGTAGGTTAATCGAGGAAGTAGTACATTCATTTTACTTGATTCTACAAATATATTGAAATAATACGAAGATTTTCATTTTATAGAAACGAGGAGAGAAAATCCCAAAGAATGAAGTAAAATACCTATATAGGTTCCTATATAAATCACATTTCATGCAAACGAAGGATTAGATCATTTTATTAGAGTTTCAATAATAAACCAGCTAGCACTTGTAACATCAAATTTATGATTATAGACAGTATAATTATAGCAGGTTTGGCAACAGTGATAAATAAATATTGTGGTTGGGAAAGCGCCAAAAGGATTCGTCGGTGGTGTTAGGACACGTTAGGAGGACCAGGGCATTAGGTACTGTAATCAGAGCCGGTTCAAGCCATTATTGCATTTGTAGATAATATTCGTATGAGGGCGGAAATATAGGATTATATCAAAAATAGTATTGCAGTATTCCTAGTAGGTACGTCGTTTTATATGTAACTGAAGTGGTGATTTCTGTAGTCTGTTTCCAAGCACGATTCCAAGTTCGAAGAGAATATTTATTATATAGTTAGCACGTAGTAAGAGCTCTAATAAAAATGATGAAAATATGTTATTTCATGACCTTTTCGTCCCCGTTTACTGGCGAACCGAGAAGAATTCATAAATTTATTGGAAACAATGGAAATTAAAAATACTGAAATATTAAATAATAATAACACATGGGGTGTTTAGGGGTTTACAATAATTTTTGTTTTAGAGAGTACCTATAAAATTAATCCATTCGAATCACGCGATTTCCATAACATACTTCAAATGATCAGAATATGATCAGAGGAAATACGAAATTCCCGTACAAATCAAATTGAAGTATCCATGAATTTATCACTGAATTTGAGAAATAATTGATTCCTAGTATGAACAACACACTGTATATGATCAGAAATAGTATAAAATATGTGTTCAATTGGTATTTGAAAGGAATCATGAAATTATTACATTTTTTCTGATCTTATGTGGAACATCGAACGTTTATTAATAATAAATAATGCCCTGTATATGATATCATTGTGGAAATTTGACCACATGTATTTTAGAGAGTTCTCAAAACGTTAAGTAGAGTCAGATTTCTGCAAAAAAAAATCCTGATATTACTTACTGATTTCCTTCATTTTTAATTAATCATATATAGGTGGCTGTGTTCAAAAGGAATGAGAGAGTTCAATATTCAGGAATGTAGATATCATTGAGTAGTACATGTTGAAAGAAAAATTCTTGAAATCGGTCAGTGTATAAGAAAATACGAAGGTGGTGCTGCTCATAGAGGGACACACTGTATCTACCTTGGTCTGAATTGGACAATTGTGTATCACATTCTGAGCGAACCAACATATTTTGCAACTTGTAAAATACGATTATTATGAGTAGGGGAGAGTGGGGCAAAGCGGAATGATTTTTTTGTTTTTTGAGCTCATAATCTCATTCTTTGTCAAAAAGGTGCAAAATTAGTGTCAATCGAAAGATGGTGATGTTGTCGATAAATGACATTGATTTGGAATCTCTAGTTACAAGGTTTTTGTCGAAATGATTTTTTCAAAATAATTTTAATTCTGTTCCACTACCACCACACTATATGGGGCAAAGTGGAATATGTCTTCAATCAATATAAAAACAAGTTTAAAAAAGTCCATGATACAACATTTATGCGCAAAGGTCGCATATATAAAGTTTATCAGAGGAGCGATCATGTGCGGTGCATTTTTCATGAGCCCATCCTTTGCAGCGGCTGCAGGATATCCAGGGTTCACCTGAAGAAGATCTAAGGTATTCTCCTCCACACAAAATACATTCCGTATCATCATCATCATCATTAGTTATATTTTCTTTACTTGTCATATCATGTTTCAACTTTTTGCGTTGATTTTGTTCAATTTCTGGTGTATCCTTATTTTTGCGTGTGAAAACGTTCCTTTTAATAGTTTTAATCGACTTTTTGGGAGTCACATCATTTTTTTCTTTCAGTTCCTTAAGATATGGGCTCCAGGTAAACACTGCAGTTTTGCCTCTGTTCCTAGATATTTTGCGTTCCTGATTCGTCTTTATCTGAGGCACAGGTATAATGTCACTAGGAGTGCACATTCTGTTGCTAGTTGATGGTATTTCCTCAACGATAGCTGGAAGTAATTCCGAAGAGCAACCAGGAATTGCTTCCACCACCACTTTCGAAGAACATGATGGAACTGCATGTAAGACGACATCTTTGGTGTAGGAGCAGGAAGGGGCTTCTTTATTTGATTGTTCAACGCCTTTGCTGCAGGAAGGAGTAGCTCCTCCTTTATTTTCATGTTCAGCAGTTCTTTTCAACAATACTAGGGGGATGTCATCATCGTCAGTTGTCGGTTCGTTGTTTGTGGGAGCAGGTCTGTAAGAAAATGTATTTGTGAAATTTTTACCGTTCATTTATCGTTAATATAATAGTCGCCTACCTATTGGTTGTTTCACTTGCTGCATACGCTTCTTCTGGAAAAATATGAGGATTAAGTGGCCAAATTCCTGTTTTTTCGAATCCGCTCATGGCATTCTTAGCAGTGGACGCCCTCAGGTATGCGTTTCCGAACAACTGACCGACTTGTCTTATGGTTATAGGTCTCCCTGGGTGATTTCTCAACCAAAGTTCACACTCCTGAGTATAAAAAGTACTGAGGGGAAACATGAATGAAACATCGAGTGGCTGGAGTCGATGAGAGGTGTGAGGCGGTAAAAAAAGGATATGCACATGATGTCTTCTAGCTTCTTCTAATAAAATAATATTTTTTGTGTGACTCGCATGCCCATCCAGAATAAGAAGGATTGGCTGATTGGCACTTGGTTTGGTATGTCTCAAGAAATGATTGAACCGTGTTGGGCAAAATATTTCAGTATTCATCCTGAAGGATGGCATACAAGTTTCGTGTCGGGCGGTGTTCCTCCCAATAATTCCAAATTATCTAGAACTTAGTGTTCCTTTTTGCTTTTTGCCCTTGGTAGCGATAACTTTCGATGGTTAATTTGGTACTGTAGTGATGCCTGATTCGTTCACATTGTAAATCTGGCTAGCTGTGAATTTATGGCGATCGTATAGTTCAATAAGCAGCACAAAAAAATTTGAAACATCATGCCTGTTGAACGCCGTAGCCCTAGCAATAGAGATCTTCTCAGGAGTACGGAGAGAAAGCTCTTTGTTTCGTTTCAAGAAGGATAAAACCCAATCTTTTCCAGCCTTTCCTTTCTCATTATTGAACGGATTGACTTTATCATTACTCATAGCAAATTGATATGCCAGATGCCTCAAATCAGAAATCCTCAGCCCAAAATATCGGGATTCCATAAATAGACAATGATCAACAAGCTCTCTTTCTTGTTGTAATGTGAAACATCTTGAAAATCTTCCTAAACGTTTTGTTGAAGCCTCTTCATCATCGCAGTCTTTTTTGGCTCTTCGAAATAATGTTGTACGGGGTACATTGTATGTATTTGCTGCATCCTCGAAGCTCAAGCGACTTGATCTTACTGCTCTCACAGCATCTCTAGGAAAATATTGTAATTTCTTCACTCATATCGACATGTGAAATACGGTAAGAAGATATGTTTATGGGTTGGAGTTCAGATGTCTCTCTCGACCTTGATATCAAAAATAATATTTATTGAATATCAGAATTTCGAAATAATGATACATATATTGAATAATAATAATATTAAATATTTTTTGTTCAATTTTAAATAATACACTGAATAATCGAACTTTCTATTATATGTCAAAAAGGTATTTGATGATCCTATCTACTTATGTTATATCATATCTACGATTATTCTTCATATCCAGAGATTCAAAGCAATTTCCATTTCCTACCTTCTCTCCCTTTCTACCCTATGCACGTGCGCTCTTCCTTGAACATATTAGGGATTTCCTTTCGAGCGTTCCGAAAGATAAAAAAAATATTTCAAGGAGCTACCATCAGCCACGCCTAGACCAACCCTGTAAAGTATTCTTTACTTGCCGTAATAGTGCCTCAGTGCCTATACAATAATCACACTTACTTCAAGCTTCATAACATAATATATATCTCCTAACTAACCGGTCGCTCGATCGGTGTCTTCCGCGATAAAAAACAAAGCCCATAAAGAAGTAAATACAGGTTCGTGGAAAGAATGCGCTTCGGATTTGAACCCAAAATGGAAGGAACATCCGAAAATTCGACACTCAATCAAATCGAATGTAATTTAGGATTATATTAGATTGAAAACTCATTTGCATAATTTCATAAATGTGGAAATAATTAGGTATCAGGGCGCTATTGGTATTTGAAGCGACACCTGTTGAAAATTTTTATAATGCTAACATCGTCAACGCGAAGAAACAAGAGAATT